TTTCTTGGCGAGCCCTTAGTTTGTAAAAGCTCTCCCTTTTTTAGCTTTTGGAGAGTATTTTTTAAGGAAAGATGAGCACGTTCGACAATGCCCTGCCCTTGGGGATTGTATAGGATTCCCGTAACATGTTTAATGTGAAGTTGTTTACAAAAAGAGGTAAAACTGTTTCCTGTGTAACCTGGGCCATTATCTGTCTTAGTTTGTTGAGGTTTACTCATAACAGAGAGTGCAGTGAGTACATGGGAAATAACATGTTTTCCAGCTTCTCCAGTTTGTGCCATGGCAAAAATGAAATCATTGAAGGTGTCAACAGTAACATGAACATATTTGGTAGTACCAAATTCAGTGATATGAGTGACGTCCATCTGCCATAATGTGTTAGGTATAAGGCCTCTAGGGTTAACACCTAGATGTGGTGTAGGCAAAAGAGTAAGACAGACTGGACATTGTTTTACAATTTGTCAGGCCTGTTCTCGAGTAATTTTAAACATGAAGCGAAGTGTGTGAAAATTCAAATGATGTAGCTGATGTGCAGCAACAGCATCCGAAAGATTTTTATCAGCTTGTGTAGAAGCAAGAAGGGAATGTTTAGTGGCAAGATCAGCGCAGTGGTGGCCCTCAGTTAGAGGGCCAGGCATGTTGGTATGTGCACGTAAATGGCCAATATAAAAGGATACCTCTCGATTTCTAATGAGAGACTGTAGTTGGCGGAGAAGCTGTGCAGCCTGAGAAACTTGTTTAATTTGTGCCGCGGTTTCTAGAAGTGGAACAGACATAGCAATATAAGCACTATCTGTATATAAATTCAAAGGCATATCAGGAAAAGCAGAAAAGACTGCAATGACTGCCTGCAACTCAACCAGCTGAGCTGATGTTGAGGAAGTGGTAAATGTAACTGTCTGATCAGAGAAGGAATAGGAAGCAGTTCCGTTGGAGGAACCGTCAGTAAAAACTAATAAAGCATTTAAAACAGGATGAAGTGAAGTTCGTATAGGGAAAACAAAATCATGGGTAGATAAAAAATATAAAAATGTACATGGAGGAAGATAGTTATCAATAGTTCCAGTAAAGGAAGCACATGCAATAGGTCAGAAATCTGTTTGTTGGAATAGTCAATTAACTTGGTCTTTAGTATATGGCTGGATAATTGTATCAGGGTCTTTGCCAAAATAGGTAATGCTTAAATTTCAAGCCATACTGATAATATCAGCTACAGCTTGATAATAAGGGTATATGACCTTTGAAGGGGAAAATGGTAGGTGAACCCACATGATTGGAGTGGATTGCCAGAACACAGCTGTTGGTATGACCAAAGTGCGACGAATAATGAGGAGCAACGGCAGTCTATAATCGATGGCTGTGATGAATTGAGAGGCAATGGCCTTTTTTACTATAGAGAGAGCTTGATGGCTCTTCTCTGTAAGGATGAGAGGAGATTTAGGATTATCGTCTCCTTGTAAGATATTAAACAAGGGTTTAAGTTGGCCTGTGGTTAATTTGAGGTATGGGTGGATCCAGTTGATATCGCCCATGAGTTTTTGGAAATCATTTAAGATTTTTAACTTGTCAACTCTAAATTGTATCTTTGGAGTGGTGATTTTTTGGCCAGAAAGATGGTATCCTAGGTAAGTATATGGGTCTTTAAGTTGTACTTTTTCAGGAGCAATCTTTAGTCTTGAATGGAAAGTTGTTTTTTAAGGTCATGAAAACATTGGGGAACTAGCTGACCATCCTTTCCTGCTATTAAAATGTCATCCATGTAATAGATGATATATATTTGATTCCATTTGTTTCTAACTGGCTGCAATGCAGCAGCAACATATTTTATGCACAGAGTAGGGCTGTTGGCCATGCCTTGGGGCAGGACTTTCCACTGGTAATGCTTCGTGGGTTCTTTAAAATTAGTTGATGGGATGCTAAAGGCAAATCTTTGTTGATCTGAAGGGTGTAAAGGAATGGTATAGAAACAATCTTGGAGATCAACAATTATCTTGAAGAAGTCTAAAGGAACGGCTACCGGGGATGGCAAGTCAGGCTGTAAGGCTCCCATGGGAACCATAGTCTTATTGATTGCTCTTAAGTCTTGGAATAGACACCATTTACCTGATTTTTTCTTAATTACAAAAATAGGGGTGTTCCATTAAGTGCTGTCAACAATGTGTCCTGCCTCAAATTGTTCCTGTACTAGCATTTGGGCAGCTTGAAGTTTCTCAGAAGTAAGAGGCCTTTGATCAACCCACACGGGCACATCATCTTTCCAGGAGATTTTATCAGTGTGGGGTACAGGCATATCAATGGCCATTAGGATAAATTTCCTAATCTTGTCCTACTAAATTTAGGTTTTGGTATCAAGGGATGGATGATACCTGACTCATTTTTCCCTAAGCCTTTTCCTGGTGTATAACCCTGTGTTAACATTTGCATAGTAACTGTATTGGAAGGGCTGAACATGATGAGGCTCATTTGTGATAACAAATCTATTCCCCAAAGGTTTATGGGGAGACCTTCTATAATAAAGGGTTGGATCGTTCCTTGATTTCCCTCTCTGTCTGTCCACTGTAATACTTTAGCGCTCCTTTCTGGATTCTGGCTTTGACCAATGCCTTTTAGGTGGGTAGGGTTGGTGTTAGGGGCCAAGTTTGGGGCCAGTTGTCTTTTCTGAGAATGGTAACATCTGCTCCAGTGTCAACAAGTCCACAAAACTGTTTACCATCTAGCCATAAAGTAAACACTGGTTTGTTTGGGGAAATTTGTTGGACCCAATAAGCATCTGAGGAACCAAACCCTTTTTCACCTCGTGAGGAGGTTTGGATGTTATTTTGAGTGGAAAGCAGTGGAAGGAGTAAGAGTTGAACTATGTGCTTTCCAGCTGTAATAGTTGTGATTAAATTTGGAGAGGAAGCCAGAATTTTTATTTCTCCCTCATAGTCATTATCTATTACTCCTGGAAAGATTTGAAGTCCCTCCATAGTGGCATTACTATGACCCATGAGCATTGCAAAGGTGTTTGGAGGTAAAGGGCCAAAGATTCTGG